CTGCCACCCCCCCCTCCCCCCGTGGGTGATTTCTCGCTTTCTGTCTCTCTGTCTCTCTCGGTCTTTCTGACAAGTGCATGGGCCCTATAGCAAAAACCTCTCCAAAAATCAATCAATCAATCAATCAATAACATGAATAATATTTTTTTAAAAATGACTTTTAAATAGAAATCTGAAAGATAGGTGACAGTCATTTAAGAATTTGGGGGGAGGCCCAGCAGGTGGCGCGGTGGTTAAGGTACTCGACACTCCCACACAACCAACCACTATTTGAGTCCTAGACCTGGTGGCTTGCTTTCTCACTTTCCCTCTCTCTCTCTCGCGCTGTGTCTCTCTCTGGTCAAATTAAAATAAATGAATGAGTAAATAAAATTAAATAAAATCATTCTTTAAAAGAAAAGAATTTGGGGGTCCCAGCCTGGTGGCAGTCTGTGGCCTACTGGCCTGCTACTCTGGAAACCACATGGTCCACCATCATTTGAATCCTCTGCCTGGTTGACCAGCAGTACGCTAAGTGCACCAGTGCGTGTCTAAGATCCTGATGAGCTGGAGGAAGGCAAATGAAGCGTGACCAGGCCCGGTCTTCTCTCTCTTTCTCTCATGCATGCGTGCACACACATTGTCTACTACGAATTTAAGGAAGGGGATGAGAGGGACCAGCAGGTGCTATGGTGGTTAAAGCTCTGGACTCGCATATGGCCTGCCATGGTTTGAGTCCCAGACCCGGCGGCTTGAAACTCACGCCGGGCTTATGTGCATGCGTGCCCAAAATTCCAAGAGGAGACTGGAGGAGAAGGGATTGCAGTGTGGCCATCCCCTCTGGGGGGTGATTTCTCGCTTTCTGTCTCTCTCTGTCTCTCTGGCGAGTACATGTGCCCTATAGCAAAAAGCTCTCAAAGAAAAGCAAAGAAAGGAAGGGCCGGTAGGTGGCGTGGTGGTTAAGGCACTGACACTCCCACATGGCTGACCACAGTCCGAGTCCCGGACCTGGGGGCTTGCTTTCTCACTTGCCTTCTCTGTGTGTCTGTCTTTCACTGGTTAAATGAACATGATTGAATGAATAAATAAAATTAAATAAATAATTTTTAAAGAATTATTTATTTATTTCCATTTGTTATTATTTTTATTTATTTATTTTTAATTTTTTTATTTGACGAGAGAGAGTGAGAGAAAGGGAAAGTGAGAAAGCAAGCCACCAGGTCTGGGACTTGAACCATGGTTGGCCATTTGGGAATCCAGCGCCCTTATCCACCACACCACCTGCTGGCCCCATCAAAACGCCAACTTTAAGATAATGAATTTTATATAACAAAAAATTTTAACCCCATGGCCTAGTGGTTAACGGAGCTAGAACCCACATGGCGGGCCACACAGAATGAAGCAATGGAGAAGGGACTGAGCATGCCCCACTGGAGAGTCCTTTCTCTCCCTCTCTCTCCCTCTCTGTCTCTGTTTCTGGTGAGTGCAATTTAAAGATACAAATAAGGATCTGAGGGGAGGGGTGCCAAGTGGAAAGATTGGGGCAAAGGCCCTGAGGCAGGGATGGATGTAGTTGAACCGCAGTGAGCTGGAGGAGAGTGGGAGGAGGCCAGGGGGCAGGGGCCAGCCATGGGGGCCATAGGGAGCCATGGAGGAAGTTGGAGCTAGGGAGCGATGTACTTTAGTGCTGTCCCAAAGCTCCTCCTGGCTGTTTGGTGGAGAATGGCGGGGGAGGGAGGCCTGACAAAGGGAGGGAGAGTGAAAGAAATGAGACTGAAGGGACTGCCCTAGGATCTGGGTGACCAGGGGAAGCTAGAACCATAGGGTTGGCCTCTCTGGAACTGAGGGGGTGGAGGGCAGCCTGGAAGCCACTGAGCAGCTTCCTCCAAGCTTCCCCTCCCTAATCTCCAGCCAAACAGCCCTCTGGGTCTATCTCTTCTCTTCCCTCCAAACCCTGTCACTTGTCCCCTCTGGTTCCATTTCAGGCATGGACGGTCCATCCCCTGCTGTCAGCCCAGTGGCCTCTTCCGGAGCCTCTGTGAGGGAGTTAGGACGCGTTGGTGCCGGTGAACAGGAGACCTGCCGTGTGGTTAGCCAGGCCTGACCCAGGGCTGAGGAAGCAGACAAGGTCTCTAACTGTCTTGGGGAGTGGCCGGGTGGTGGTTGATTCTCCTTCCAACTCCAACCTCTGCATCTTGCTTGGTTCCTCTTTTGGAAACACCTCAACCTGCCTCAGCTCCTGTTTTGGCAAAGTCCTAGAGGGGAAGATGAGACGAGGCCTCAGTTTCCCCTGCAGTGAGTAATGGACAAGCTGCTTCTTCTCCCTCTAAGGATGCCTTGTCTCTTGGGATTACAGGAAGTGGGAGTGCGGCTCCCCCCAACCTTCCTCCCCTGCCAGGGAAGAAAACAAAACTTTTGGATCAGTCCCTCGGGATGTGAGGGCTGGTCTCATTTCTCTAGGAATCGGCAGTAAATTGTTCTCTTCGCTGTCAGACTGGAGATGGGTGGAGGCCCCCACGTGAGCTGCAGAGGGGCGGTGGCGGGACACACCCTGGGCTCCTTGCCCACCCTCTCGTGTGCTTCCCAGGCCTGCGAAGGGGACTCGTTTCTTAACTATGAATCCCAGGAGGGGCCCCTGCAAGCCAGGGCAGCCTGGGGGCGTCTGGTCGGGGTGACCCAGCGGTCAGGTCGCGGTTCAAACTCCCTCCTGGGACATCCACAGAGCTTTAAGTGCGTCCTCTGAAAAGGCGCAGACCCGGGGTTGGTTATAAACGACCGGAATCAGTAGGGCTAGCTATAGAGCGCCCCCGTCTGGGCCAATCAGAGGCCGAGGGTGGGAAACTAAGCCAATAAGCAAGCCGCTCGGTGCCCTTGGATTGAAAGTAAACCAATCAGGGCGCTGGCTGCTTGCATCCGACGGCCGGTCTGGCAAGGGCGGCTGGGCCAGGGCCAGA